GAAGGCTCTCTGTGAGACTTATCTGAGGCCACTGGTGTCCCTTAGCAGAAGGGATGTGTGTGGATGGGGATGAAGGACCTGGTCTTTTATCACCAGAGATTGGGGCCACACATCTCTGGATCTGCCCTCTCAGGCAAAGAGCTAGGAGCTGGAGCTCAGGGCCCTTGTCCTCTTGGTCTACACCCTGCGTCTCCGCTGCTGTAGCACCTATGTTTGGAGTCCAGGCAGGGCGATGAAGTGCTGTAAAGGTGGCAGCGTGGGAGTGCAAGGGCAGGAATGTGGATGTGCACAGTTACCCCGCCTCTGAGCGCTTTCCCAGAAGGGTGGTGGGGAGGAGTAAAGGAGGCTGCACGGTGCTCATTGGCGCCTGGCACCCCTAAAGGCTTGCTGCCTGGAGGGGCGGTGACTAAGAAGATGAAGTTCTGCAGAGGCCCTCGCTGAGCTGGGAGCTGACCCTGCTATCACTCAAATTCCAAGAGCCCAAAGAGCTTGCAATTTGACTCTACCTGTCCAGGGGTAGGGACATTTAAAAGGCCCTGACTTGTGTTTCCTGAATTTCCTGGCAGCCTCCTGAGGCAGGGCTGGGTGAGCTTCACAGACTGTCAAAATCCAGTCCGGGGCAAGGCCTGCTTCTCCTGGGGTTCCCAGGCCCTCCCTGCCCTGCTGTGAGACTCATGTACCCACTGTGGCCACTTCTATGGAGTTCTTCCTTTTTGGATTGCCTCCCAGCCAGCCAAAGCCCCACTCCCCCAGGGCCAGGAAGTGCCTGGGGCAGTAAACTCACCCTCCCACCCTAGCAGGGGGTCACCCTCTGTCCCAAGCACCAGCCCAGGTGGGAAATCCTGCCATAGCCAGGATGGGCTCATCTCTGCTGGTTACCATCCAGGCTCAAGGTGCTATGATGAGTCTCCAGTTCCTCAGACCTTGGGAGCTGGGTCCCTGGGCGCGGGTACAGGTCCGTGTCACTGCTGCAGGAGCTGCACTGGGTGGAGCAGGAGTGACCTCGCTGACCCTAGTTCTGCCCCTGGTTGCTGCGAGGCCAGGGTTGCCTGTTTGCTCTCTGTGGACCTCTTAGTGTGGCAGCAGGATTGGGTGTGGACATGTGCTTGGATGCCAGCCACCATCTCTAACACTGCTCCTTGACCAGGGCCATTGCTCTAGAGCCTTCACAAGCCCACTTCAGGGCTTCTCTCCTGGCTCCACCTCAGGGACGGGTAGTGACCCAGCTGGGAGTGGCCTCCCTCCTCCGTGGTTTTGGCTGGTTATAACTGGTGCCCCCATCTGCCATGGTACCCCCCCCCCATGGTGAGTAAACAGGACCCCCCAGCAGGGATCAGCTGGATGGCATATCAATCTAGATGCAGGTGAAAATGGGACCCAAGGGATAGTGACCTGCTTGGGTCTACGATAGGCAGGATTAGAATCGGGCATCAGACAGGACCTGCCACTGTGTCCCTGCCCTCCATAAAGTGGCCTCAACAATGAGTACAAGGACAGGCTCATTGATGTCAGGAGCCCAATCTGGTTTCAGATCACCATTTGTGCTGACTCAGAGACTTCAACTTAGGTAAAGCCTTGAGGAACAAGGAGTCTGGGCAGAACTCTTGGGATGGGAGCAACAGATATGGGCACCTGGGAAGGTGATAGCTGGCCAGGGTCGTGGGTGAGGGGGGTGAGTGTAGAGTGTACACAGGGCTCTGGGCAAGCCCCTTCAGAAGTCCCAAAGCCAGAGTGTTTGTTCCTAAAGCCTTGAGTAAGGGCATTTCATGTAGGCTTACCTTTGGGCTAGGGAGGTCAGCGACAGATTCACTCTGACCTCAAGAGTGTCCTGTGTGCCTGATCACATTAAGCTTCTCCTTTTTGGGACCTGCCCAGAAGATTGCAGGCATGTGTGTGGTCAGAGAGCATTCCAGGGGAAAGTGATCCAATCTGGGAGGGGAGGGCCTTGCTCCTCTAGGCTGGGGTCTAGTTCAAGTTCTGTTTAAATTTACTTCTTTTTGTTTTCAACAGCAAGAGGTCAGCCAGTCTCCCTCCCCCAAGCCAGAAAGAACAGGGCCAGGAGGGAAAGGGCAGGGGTGGGAAATCAGCCCTCAGGGCTGGCTAAAGGCAGCTCTGGGGCAGGAAACTCCCCTGGCTTCCTCTAGGCCAGGGACTGAAAGGAAGGGCTGCCCAGCAAGGAGGATTCCCCTCCCTCTGGGCTACAGAATGGTGTCACGTAGGAAGTCCCCTGGTTTTAGAGCCAGCTCAGGATTCTTTTTTTTCTTTTTTTTTTTTTTTGAGACGGAGCCTCAAGCTGTCCCCCTGGGTAGAGTGCCATGGCATCACACTCACAGCAACCTCCAACTCCTGGGCTCAAGCGAGTCTCCTGCCTCAGCCTCCCAAGTAGCTGGGACTACAGGCGCCCGCCACAACGCCTGGCCATTTTTTGGTTGCAGCCATCATTGTTTGGTGGCTGGGCTGGGGATTCGAACCCACCACCTTAGGTGTATGTGGCTGGCGCCTTAGCCACTTGAGCCACAGGCGCCGAGCCCAGCTCAGGATTCTAAGGGGCTGATCTGGGACACCTCTCTAGCCTGCACCCCCATCCCATGAGGAGCAGCCAGGCCTCTTTCTTGTCCAAGACAAGGATGTCACCATTGCCAGGGCCCATGGACCTGGCAAGCATGCAGGTTCCCTGTGGGAAAATGAGAAAGTCAGAGAAGCAGTGAGGGAAATGAGACGTTAGCCAAAATGGAGCACAGCCAGCATCTGGGCACCTTCCTTCCTGGCAGATGTGTGGAATAGACACACACAGCTAACCACGCCTGCTCTCTCCACTTAACAATGATACCCATTACTGGGATGGATCCATCATGGGCAGAGCACCAACAGGCATCAGTTTCTTCACTAGGCACAACAGCCCTCAGGGAGGGGAACTGGGGCTTGGGGAGGTTCAAGGTGGGAACCCAGACATAGAAGGGCAAAATAGGCTCCTCACCTGGCTCTAAGGAGGTCTCTGGGGTTCCAGAGAGGGAGTGAGGGTTGAGGTGGTCCCAGGGAGCTTGGGGAGGTGGAAATGGTCCTTCAGGGGGAGGTCAGGATGGTGTGCCCTAGTGCTGCCAGAGCCGGAATTGGGAGACAGATGTCAAAGTGGCCCCAGGGTGTGTGTGTTGGGGGGTGTCAAGGTGACCACTGGGCGCTGGGAACCTCCTGGGGTGCTGGTTGGCTCAGGCCTCACACACGCTGACACTCTCCACTTCTGCCCCCCCATCATGCAGACAACAAGTCGCCCCCAGAGGCGCTTCGCTTCCACGCAGAAGCCAAGGGCTCACAGGTGAACCTGGACACCCGCTGCTGCACCGCGCACAGGTGCGCTACGTTCCACGACGGCATCGTTTTCAGTCAGCGGCCTGTGCTGCCCGGGGAGCGTGTGGCACTGCGCGTGCTGCGACTGGAGGAAGGCTGGTGCGGTGGCCTCCGCGTGGGCTTCACGCGCCTGGACCCCGCGCGCGTGTCCGCGTCCAGCCTGCCGCCCTTTGTGTGCCCAGACCTGGAGGATCAGAGCCCAACGTGGGCTGCTGTGCTGCCTGAGGACTGCGCGCTTGAGGGGGATGTGATCTGTTTCTGGGTGAACCGCCACGGCAGGCTCTTCGTTAGGGTCAACGCTGGCCGCCCTTTCCTGTTGCGCAAGGGCGTGCTCATGGGCGCCCCGCTCTGGGCGGTAATGGACGTGTACGGGACCACCAAGGCCATCGAGCTTCTGGGTGAGACAACTTTGGGGACCCAGGCAGGCCCTAAGGAGAAGGGGGGAGATGGGGGCTCGGGTGGCGTCCCACCCCCGTCCACAGCCAAAGAACCGTTCATTCGTTCAAATTCAGTTATTCCATCAACACTTGCTTAGTGTTATTTAGTGTTATAGGGTGTGCACTGCAGACACCAGATGGGCAAGACCCCAGGCATAGAGAGGCGAGCCTTATCCCTAAAGAATAAGGAGATGTGGGCTCAGCGCCCATAGCTCAGTGAGTAGGGCGCCAGCCACATACACCTAGGCTGGCGGATTCGAGCCTGGCCCGGGCCTGTTGAACAACATGACAACTGAACCAAAAAATAGCCGGGCGTTGTGGCGGACGCCTGTAGTCCCAACTACTC